CCCATTCATCATCCCTACTTGGCTCCCGGCAGCCCCGCCGGGGGCTTCTTGCACTTCCTGCTGCTGGGAGCTCCGAGCAGGGCCATGCCGTGGCTTCTCAGCAAGAAGCGACGGCAGTCGCCGTCCAGCAGCACCAGTGGGCAGCCCTGGGCTGCCCCCAGCTCCACCAGTGCCTCCGAGCTCAGGGAGAAGGGGCTGGGCAGGCTGCACCGCGCGGCCGCCCGCGGCGACCTGGCCTGGCTGAGGCGGTGGCGCTGGTTTGTGAGGGCAGTTGGCATCGACAGGCGAGACCAGGAGATGCGGTGAGTGCTTTGGGACGCTGATGGCACAGCTGGGCTGCTCCTGAGCCAAGCTGCAGCAGTTTTGGCAGCCCTCCCTGAAGGACAAGGCTTGAAAAGTGAGCTGTGCCCTGTCAGCAGGGAGAGTGAACTCTGGAGCTTTCACTGCTTGGAGCTGCCGGCTGGGCTCGAGCGCTGTTGGAAACGCGTGTCCCCGACCTGCCGCTTCACCGTGGTCTCTCTGCAGGGCTGTTTTGCAGCTGCTCAGCCCTCACCTGTTCTCTTCTGCCCTGTGGCTCATCAGCACAGGATTGCAGCAGCAGCAGCAGCAGAGAGCAGCAAGCAGGAGGAGCAGAGTCCGGGCAGGGTCCCCAGGGTGCTGGGTAGAGACACAGCTTTGGTTTTCCTTTGTCTGTCCAGGTTAAGAGCGTATGTTTAATTTGTAGGACCCCTCTGCATCTCGCTGCGGCAAATGGCCATGCAGATGTCATTCGATATCTGATGAGAAAGAACAGCCAGCCGAACCTCGCTGACAGCTTCAAGAGAACGGCACTGATGAAGGTGTGTGGAATGCCTTAGGATCTTGTAGGTGGGGTTAGTGCTGCTGTGTTAAAGAGGAGATGTCTGGCAGGATTCCTTGCCCCGCAGGCCCATAGAAACATGCAAGTTGCATTCAGCATGGCATGGGCCTCTGTTAGCTAATCTTTGAAGATGCTCTTCTATCCCAGCATTCAGGAGCTGAGGGAGTTGTGACAGAGGGGGATGTAAAAGTTGCAAGTCTTTCCCTTTCCGTGTGTTGTTCCCAGGCAGTACAGCAGGAGCAGGAAGAATGTGTTGCTGTTCTGCTGGAACACGGTGCCGACCCGAATCTGGCGGATGCTGACGGCAACACTGCCCTTCACCTGGCTGTGCTGTCTAAAAATACAGCTGTGGCAGGGCTGTTACTACAGCATAACGCCAAGAGTGATGCTCAGAACCAGGTAACCTTGGCATGTGGGTAAAGCTGCTCTTTCAAACAGGTTCAGAGCTTGTCTGTGTTTTTCTAATGGGGATTATTTCTCCTTTTAGTGGGGATGTACCCCCTTAAAACTTGCAGCCTTCCTCCAGCATGAGGAGATTCTGCAGTGCCTTCTGACCAAAGCAGCTGACAGGCATACTCAAGCTGAGCCTGAGAGGTGAGGGGTTTGTCAAACCAGCACACAGGTCTTCTCAGTAGTCTGAAAGTGGGACTGAGAGGAGGGGCATGGCAATGGGCTTGGGAAAAGAAGGAGGAGCCAAGTGGAAGCAGTTCCCGTGTGCCTGGTAAAAGCAGGTCTGCACTTGGCTGCTCTCATAGCTTAGGGGCTCGTCCTTTGCCCTCTGAGGTCTGCAAGAAAGCCTTGTCTGTGGTGCCCTCTCCCCACACAGCCCCAGAGCCAGCAGGACACTTGCCATGAGCTCAGCAGCCGGGCTGCTCTGCAGGACAGGGAGGTTCAAGCCAAGGCACAGTTGGGGCGTTGAGTGCTCTGAAGGGAAGCATTGGCAGAAAGAGAAGCAACACTGTCTGAGGGGACACGAGGGGCTGACACCGCACCTGAGGAGAAAACTTCCTGCCATGCAGATGGTCAGGGGGTGAACGGCCCCGGGAGTTTGTGCAGCCGCATCTGTGGGGACTTTGGAGAGCAGTGCAAGGAGCCCTGGACAGCATGGCCTGACCTCGGAGTTGAGGCTGCTTTAGGGAGGCCCCTTCTCAGCTGAATTCTCCAGTGCTTCCATGTGCTTGGCTTTGCTTTCACAGAGCTTGTAGGAAAGGGGGAAGAGCTGTTTTGGGAGCAAGCAGGGGAAAAATGATGCAGGATCAGACATGTTTCAGATTAAATTTTGGATGCCCTAGGACTGCTCTTGTGGTTCCTGGAACCCATGAGGCTCACCTGGAGGAAGAGAATCTGCACTTGCAGAAGGAGTTGGACAGGATTGACACTAAGGTATGGAAAGCCTGTCCCTACAGGGATAAACCTGGGGGTGCCAGTTGCTCCCTATACATCAAGAAATGGATAAAACAGTCTTCTGGGAGCCAGGATGACAGAGACCTAAGGAAGCAGCAGTTACATCGGGCTTTGATCTGCCTCTGTCTCTCCGGCCCCTGCCCCACAACCCGCCATGCTGAGGCAGAGCTGCCTCTCCTTAGGGTTTCACTGCTCACCAGTCAGGGGGGCTGGGGCTCCTCTCTCTCTGCTACATTTGAGGTCTTCCTGGTTTAAGAAGACTCCCCAGGCCCCCCTGGTGCAATTCTCGACTCCAGAGCAGGTCTGTGGAGCAGTTCACCTGGCTGCCCTGGCTGAAATGGTGGCCATCAGCTTGCCAGTGATGCCATCCTTCCTGGCCCCACCACACTGAAGCAGAGCTGCCTCTCCTCAGGCATCCACTGCTTCCTGCTCAGGGGCTGCTGGGTGCCTCTCTCTGCTCTTCAGTCAGGGGTTTTCCCACTTCAGAAAGCTCCCCATGCTCCCCTGGTGCAATCCTGGGCTCCAGAGCACATGTGCCCGAGCAGTTCGCCTCTGACCCTTGCCAGACGCCTTCCTTTAGGAAGATGAACTATTCCATGCACCCTTTCATGGAGTAGCAAGCAAGGCAATAAAAGAAGCATCACAGGTCACAAAAAAGGTCGGAGGGGCAGTGTGGGTGCTTAGAACTGTGCTGTAGGAAATCAGTGGAGGGATGGGAGAGGCTGCTGGTTAAAGAGGACAAAGGAATACAGGTGGTGTTCATTTGGGAGCAGAAGTGAAGCTCTGAAGGCACTTGAATGGATTGCAGTTCTCTGGGCAGAGGGTGTGCACACACACATGCAGCACAGCAGGCCTTTGGCAGCAGCTGGCTCCTCTGTGGGAAAGCTCACCTGAAAACTGTGGGTTCTTACCGTGATTTTACAGTTGCAGGAGGAGGAGGAAAAGCATCTTCAGTCTGAGCGTTGTGTTGGTGACTTGAAGACTGCCCTGGGTGATAAGGAAAGAGATGCAATAGCTTCTACCCAGAAAATGCAGGACCTCCTATTGGCATCTTCCAAGACTGATAGTGCTCCAAAACAAGTGGAAGAACACGAGCAACAGTAAGAGAGGAACACAGTGAAGCGAGGGGTCTGTAGCTTTGGGGGACTGGGTGGAAACAAAAGGAGAGTCAGTCTGATTTTGAAGGACACTTCTGCTCTGCATTCTGTTACTTAACACAGTTTGTCTTGCATTGGATTTTCTGGTAATAAGACCTGTATTTCTTCTGAAGCTCTCAAAGTGAAAACACCAGACTGGAAACCACTGTCCAACAGCTGAGAGATCGCGTTGAAGCCCTTCAGAGAGACCTGCAAGCTTCTGCCTCAGTAAGCTGCTCATAAATTTCCCTGTTTGTGACTCTTGAGCAGAGCTGCCCATTTCTGTGGAGAAACTGCAAGATGAAGTTTTCCTGGAGAGCCAAGGGGAGCTCAGTTTCTGTATTCTCCTCAGTAGAGGCTGCTCAGAAAGCAGCCTGGTCCTTTCTCCAGCTGCTACAAAAGCCCTGAGGGTATTTTCTGTGGTGGACACTAGAGGAATAGAGATTATAAATTATGAGTGTCATTATGAGCTCGAAGGGACCTGGAAGTATTGCTCCCAGAAGCATCTCACAAATTCTTAAGTAGGTCTAAAGTGTCTTCTTTCTGTTGGGGAATCTTTCCAGTGTTTTCCATGCACATTTCGAAGAGATGATAAATACAGTTTCACTGGCCATCCCTTTAGAGGTTTTCCCAGATCTCACTGCCATTAGATCATGCTGAGTTTCCTTTTCTTTTTTTTTTTTTTCTGTGTACAGGTTGGTGAACCTTCCCAGCAGGTGGACATGGAGCCTAAAACAGGCATGCAGCTGGAAGCCCAAAATGAGGATTTGAAAGAAAAGCTGTCAACTCTGTGTGGGAAGTATGTAAACCTGGAGATGGACAAATGCCAGCTGCAAGAAGAACTGGAGGAACTCCACCATCATTTGAAGAATTTCAGGCTGGATGGCAGCCAAACAGAACAATGTGTCAATCAGTTTTTGCAAGTAAGTGAATTTCTCACCAGTGTCCACGTAAACTTCTGTTGTGGCCACGATTTCTGGTATTTTCCTTTCCCTCCTGCATTCTGTGTGTTAGTGCTGTACTTCTGTCTGTGCTGGAGGCAGTGGGAGAAGGGCAGATGGTTGGGCAGCAGTGCTGGGTGTGTGATGTGCTGGCAGGTCCCTGAATCCAAAGTCTGCCCAAGGCACATTCCCAGTTTGCAGTGCCTGGGGGGGTCTCTGTCCCCTGCTCATCCTCCAATGGGTTTGGCAACTTGCAGCTGTCATGGCCAGACATTGGGGTGCTGCTTTGTCCTTGGAGGGGGGAAAGTGCTCAGAAAAGGAGTCACTGAAATGACAGGGGTGGGGTGAGGGGGGTGCAGGTGGGGATGCTCTGATTGTCTTTGAAGCATCCTTTTCAATATGCCCTGTCCTGCAGATACAGTGTCTTTTCATTGGTAGCTTTGACTAAGAGTGCTGATTTGGCCTCTTTCTGAATGAGAAGAATTATTTACCCTGGTATCTCCTGGGTTCTGCCTTGATTGCTGCTGCTTGTGAGGAGGCATAGCCACCTCTCTGAGCAAAGCCCTGAAATTGGGTCCATGCAATTTTTTGCTGGGGAGAGCTCTGTTTTTCTTGTGGTGGTTGAAGGTGCACTGTCTCATTCAGGATCAGGCAGCCTGCCAGGACACCTTAGAAAAAATCAGAAGCAGTCATTTTGACTCACTGAAAAACCAGTTAGAAGACAGAACTAGAGATCTTGAACGTGCACTGGGAAGGATAAAAAGCAACCAACAAGAAAGACCTTTTCAACAAGAATCCAGACAGCCAGCAGTGGACAAGTACATAAAGCATTACCTGCAGGAAGTGAAAACCAGCAAAAGCCTCGCAAAGAAACTAGAAAGGTAAGTTCATGGTTTTTTTGGAGTGGTAATCACAGACTCCTTTTTCCTTGTGCATTTTCCTTCTAAAATCCCTTTTCTACATCTGGCCAGCACAATGTGTGAAAGCATAACATGGCATATTTGTGGGGAAAGCACCTCAAGACCCTTCCCTTCACCAGACCTGTCTTTCTTTCTCCATAGAGTTCCAGCAGTAACACCACAGTAGCACCATTACAGCATGAGTGGTGTCTTTTTCCAGCTGATGTTGATTTAACAGGCAGTCTTTTTACCAATCTCTAATCTCCTCCTCCTCCTGTGTGTAACAGAAAAGATCAATCTTGTGGCCTTTCCTGTTTGAATAAGGAGAGGCCTCTCAGAGAGCAGAGTTAGATTCTGTGAATCAAAAATAAGAATGATCTTTCTGTTTTAGCAGCAGCTCTGAGGTTTGAGCTTTCCTTTGAAGGCCAGCAGGGTAGCCCAGAGTTCTTATGGAGGTGACACTTGCTGCTCCTTGCACTTGGTGTGATTTTTTGGAAACAGGCCCTCTGCACAAGCTCAGATCAAAGGATGTGCTTGTTTTGGACTCTCTTCATCCCCTTGGCATTTAGAAGTCAAGGAATAGTCAAGGACATAGAGGGGAACTTTGCCAAAGCGTTGCTGCCCAAGGTGACTCTTTGTGTGCCTCTGAATGTTTCAGAACCAATGAGAGACTTGAAGAGGCCAACCCGAAGCTCCTTTGGGAGCGCCAGAGAAGCAAATCTGCAGCCACAATCAGCGATGTCAGCAGAGGTCTGGCTGCAGGTCCACCTCTGGATTCAACTGGCCTGGGACACCTTGGGAACCGTCTGGGACTGGGCAGAACTCCCGGCCTCAGAACACACCCCAGCCACATGTGGTAAAGCCAACGACTTTTGGTCAGCAGGTTGGTACAAATTTTCCAGTGTGGGAGAGGACAGAAAATGTTGAAATGGAAGCACTGAGCTGTGTAACTCCATTCTTTTACAGAGCAACTGTGGCAAAGAGCACTGTGAGGCAGGAACTTCCCACCTAAGTTCGACACTAAATTTTCATCTACGATCTGTGTGACCTGTTTCAAATGGCTGATGTCACCATGAGTGCCAAATGCCATCAGACATCTGTGAGACACCGAGGAGGAGCCAGCCACGTCCCAAAGTCCAGCGCTGCCCCAGTGGTGGCAGGCCTGGCCCAGCCGTCCCAGGGAGCAGCACCCAGGCCAGGCCGGCACCGCCACAACCACAACCACTGCCTGTGCACTGCCTGCTCTTCCCTGGCAGGAGCCCTTGGTGCCAGTGGGGCAGGCAGGAGCTTTCCTGCTGCCCGCTCAGCCCCTTGGCCACGGATCTCCTTCTGCCACGCCAGTTGCGGCCTGGAGTGACTGGCAACGACACTCCCTGTTTGAGAGGGTGCTCAGGGCTGTGCCAGGCTGTTCCTTGGCACCTGTGTCCCACGAGGGCAGGAGCAGCAGTGCCAGGCTGCCAGCGCCAGGCAGCTGCCTGCAGGTGACCGTGTGAGCCTCGGCAGCGTCCGGCTGAGAGCGCGGCACAGGGAGGCACCGCAGCCACGGCTGCAGGGACAGCACCTCGGGCATTTGGCTGCCCCAAGCACACACTGCCAGCCTGGGCTCACCCAGTGATTCCTGTCACCAGCCTGGGATTGCCCTAAACACACCTTAGGGCTTGAGCTGGGTCACAGTTTCATCGCAGTTGTGCCAATAGATAGTAGGGCACAGATAGATTAGACAGATTATAAGATAGGTAGATAGACAGATAGATAGAGAGATAAATAGACAGATAGATACATAGATAGATAGGTAGATAGATAGATATTAATAGATTATAATTTTCCTCAATAAAAGCTTCAATTTCACTGAGATTCCTGAGTGGTGTGCATATGAACAAAGGATTCAAACACAAAATGCTGAGATGAAGTCCAGTTTTAATTTTTGGAGGGCATTTTGATTGCCTCTCAGCAGGTGACACCTACTGCAAGTGTAAGAGCTGTCTTTCCTCTGGTCCTTATATCTGTTTAAGATATAAAATAGAATGGTTTTCTGTGGTTCCTTATCTGCCATGGGACACCTGCACTGGGGGCAGGGTCTGGGATCAGCTTCCAGGGCTCTGTGATGTGAGGCCGCCTGGTACTCAGAGAGCATCCAGCTGTCAGACTATTTTCAGAGAAGCTTCAATTTAGCCCAATGAACTGTGTTCCTGTGGTTTAGAAATGGTACTCCCCAATTTAGTGCCCTCACCGAGACTCTCCTTAACCCCAGTGCTGCTCTCTCACTCTCTTTTCTCCTCCAGCCTTTCCTGGCAGGAACCAGGACAGTTGTGTGCATACAGAAACAGGACTCAAACACAAAAAGGGGAGATATAGTCCAGTTTTAAATTTCAGAGGCTATTTTTGATTTCCTCTGAGCAGACAAAAGCCACTGCAGGTATAAGAAGTCTCTCTCTTCTAGTTCTTCTCTCTGGTTAAGTGGTAAGAATGAAAACCTATAAGGTCTTTATAAAGTTTCTCGCCTCTGCCGTGGACCACCTGCACTGGCAGCAGGGTCTGGGCTGGAAAAGAAATTGCGGGTGACCCTCCCGGGTCAGCACCTTTCCCTGGTGCACTTTGAAATCCTCAATTCCACAGGAACTGTGCCCTTTGCTCAGGGCCTTCCCTGATGCTTTCAGTCCTGAGGTGAGCAGTGTTGCTCAGAGCTCCCTGTGATCGTGGTTGGTGCCCGTGCTCATCGGCTGAGGAGCTGATTATTTTGTGCCGCCTGGATCAGCCCGAGGTGCTGGGAATGTGAAGGGATCGTGGCCGAGCACGTGCAGCATTCCCTGGGACACTTCCAAGCACGTGCAGCATTCCCTGGGACACACCCATGGGGAAGAGCTCCAGAAATGCCTCCCAGACGGGCGGCAGGCGCTGGAGCGCCAAGGTGGGGGGGGCAAAATTCCACATGGGAATGGGGCATTTGGGAATGGGGGACTTGTTGGGCCGAGTGGAACACGGGATACTGACACTGTCCTGCTGCGCATACGGATTCTGTCCGGGACCACGGGGATGAGCCGCATGAATAAAGAAAATTTCATGCAGAAAGAAAATTAGAGAGCCAAAAGCGCAATTTGAAGTCAATTTGGCTACTTCTGTCAGGGATAACAAAAAGCGCTTCTATAAATACATTAATAACAAAAGGAGGGGCAAGGAAAACCTCCATTCCTTGTTGGACTTGGGGGGGAACAGGGTTAACAGGGGTGAGGAGAAGGCTGAGGTACTTAACACCTACTTTGCCTCAGTATTCACCAGTAGGACAGGTGGCCCTCAGGACAACTGGCCTCTGAAACTGGTAGACAGGGACAGGAAACCAAATACCCCCTGTATTCCAGGAGGAAATAGTCAGTGACTTACTGAGCCACCTGGATCCACACAAGTCCATGGGACCAGATGGGATCCATCCTAGGGTGATGAGGGAGCTGGCAGAAGAGCTCGCCAAGCCGCTCTCCATCATTTACCAACAGTCCTGGCTCACTGGGGAGGGCCCAGGCGATTGGAAGTTGGCGAATGTCACGCCAATCTACAAAAAGGGCTGCAAGGAGGACCCAGGAAACTCCAGGCCTGTCAGCCTGACCTCAGTGCCTGGCAAGGTTATGGAGCAGATCATCCTGAGTGCAATCACACAGCACCTACAGGATGGACAAGGGATCAGAGCCAGCCAGCATGGGGTTAGGAAGGGCAAGTCCTGTCTGACCAACCTGATCTCCTTTTATGATCAGGTGACCCACCTGGTGGATGAGGGAAAGGCTGTGGATGTGTCTATCTGGACTCCAGCAAAACCTTTCACACCGTCTCCCATAATATACTCCTGGAAAAGCTGCAGCCCATGGCTTGGACAGGGGCACTCTGTGCTGGGTTAAGAACTGGCTGGAGGGCCGGGCCCAGAGAGTGGTGGGAACGGGGCTGCATCCAGTTGGGATCCAGTCACCAGTGGTGTCCCCCAGGGATCAGTGCTGGGCCCAGTCCTGTTTAACATCTTTATGGATGATTTCGATGAGGGGATTGAGTCCATCATTAGCAAATTTGCAGATGACACCAAGTTGGGGGGGAGTGTCGACCTGCTGGAAGGCAGGAGGGCTCTGCACAGGGACCTGGATAGGCTGGAGAGTTGGGCTGATTCCAACGGGATGAGGTTCAACAAGACCAAGTGCCAGGTCCTGCACTTTGGCCACAACAACCCCTGCAGCGCTACAGGCTGGGCACAGAGTGGCTGGAGAGCAGCCAGGTGGAAAGGGACCTGGGGGTGCTGATCGACAGGAAGCTGAACATGAGCCAGCAGTGTGCCCAGGTGGCCAAGAAGGCCAATAGATCCTGGCCTGCATCAAGAACAGTGTGGCCAGCAGGAGCAGGGAAGTGATCCTTCCCCTGTACTCAGTGCTGGTGAGGCCGCACCTTGAGTATTGTGTTCAGCTCTGGGCCCCTCAGTTCAGGAAGGACATGGAGGGGCTGGAGCAAGTCCAGAGAAGAGCAACAAGGTTGGGGAAGGGACTTGAGCACAAGTCCTTTAAGGAGAGGCTGAGGGAGCTGGGGTTGTTTAGTCTGGAGAAGAGGAGGCTCAGGGGTGACCTCATCACTCTCTACAACTACATGAGAGGAGGTTGTAGCCAGGTGGGGGTTGGTCTCTTCTCCCAGGCAACCAACAACAGGACAAGGGGACATGGGCTCAAGGTGACTCTGGAAGAAGGGTGGGTCACAATGTGGAGAAAAGATGTCTAGGACGGAGGAGCACTGGAGGGCTGCTGAGAGGGGCAGGACAGGGCGTGTCCTGGGCACAGGGCAGGGCACAGGCTGTGTGGATCAGGCGTGCAGCAGTGATGGGCAGAGCTGCTTTGGGGAAGGTAGGAGGATGATTGCTTCCTTCAGCCCCCAGGGGACTCTGAACAAAAGGGGGAGATTTTCAACACTTCCCAATGGGTTCAGGGCAGAGTGTAACACCTGGGAGGTGCTGAAATGCTTTAGGCATCACACCTACAGGATGGACAAGGGATCAGAGCCAGCCAGCATGGGGTTAGGAAGGGTTGTTCATGTCTGACCAACCTGATCTCCTTTTATGATCAGGTGACCCGCCTGGTAGATGAGGGAAAGGCTGTGGATGTGTCTATCTGGACTCCAGCAAAGCCTTTGACACCATCTCCCATAATATACTCCTGGAAAAGCTGCAGCCCATGGCTTGGACAGGGCACTCTGTGCTGGGTTAGGAACTGGCTGGAGGGCCGGGCCCAGAGAGTGCTGGTGAACGGGGCTGCATCCAGTTGGGATCCAGTCACCAGTGTTGTCCCCAGGGATCAGTGCTGGGCCCAGTCCTGTTTAACATCTTTATGGATGATTTCGATGAGGGGATTGAGCCCATCATTAGCAAATTTGCAGATGACACCAAGCTGGGAGGGAGTGTCAACCTACCGGAAGGCAGGAGGTCTCTGCAGAGGGACCTGGACAGACTGGAGAGTTGGGCTGATTCCAACAGGATGAAGTTCAACCAGGCCAAGTGCTGCATTCTGCACTTTGGCCACAACAACCCCTGCAGCGCTACAGGCTGGGGACAGAGTGGCTGGAGAGCAGCCAGGTGGAAAGGGACCTGGGGGTGCTGATTGACAGGAGGCTGAACATGAGCCAGCAGTGTGCCCAGGGGGCCAGGAGGGCCAATGACATCCTTGTCTGCATCAAGAACAGTGTGGCCAGCAGGAGCAGGGCAGTGATCCTTCCCCTGTACTCAGTGCTGGTGAGGCCACACCTTGAGTATTGTGTTCAGTTCTGGGCCCCTCAGTTCAGGAAGGAAATGGAGGTGCTGGAGCGGGTCCAGCGAAGAGCAACGAGGCTGGTGAAGGGACTTGAGCACAAGTCCCATGAGGAGAGGCTGAGGGAGCTGGGGTTGTTTAGTCTGGAGAAGAGGAGGCTCAGGGGTGACCTCATCACTCTCTTCAACTACCTGAAGGGAGGTTATAGCCAGGTGGGGGTTGGTCTCTTCTCCCAGGCAACCAACAACAGGACAAGGGGACATGGGCTCAAGGTGACTGTGGAAGAAGGGTGGGTCACAATGTGGAGAAAAGATGTCTAGGACGGAGGAGCACTGGAGGGCTGCTGAGAGGGGCAGGACAGGGCGTGTCCTGGGCACAGGGCAGGGCACAGGCTGTGTGGATCAGGCGTGCAGCAGTGATGGGCAGAGCTGCTTTGGGGAAGGTAGGAGGATGATTGCTTCCTTCAGCCCCCAGGAGACTTCAAACAAAAGGGGGTGATTTTCAACATTTCCCAATGGGTTCAGGGTAGAGTGTAACACCTGGGAGGTGCTGAAATGCTTTAGGCATCAGTAGCCATCCACCTGGAACCACAAACCACACGAAAACTGGGCTTGGGGTGGTGTCAAACAGGGGAAAAAGGAGATGTGGGATGGAGCCACATGGGTGGGAAAATTCTTGTCTAGTAAATCCTCTGTACTGGGAAGGTGGAAGGGACACGGGACTGAGCTTTCTCCAGAGCCACAACTGGGCAGGGCATTCATTTCTTGATCCTCACAGCTGACAGGTGGTGGATCTGGAATCCCCACGTCTCAGTGTGTGCAGCACCTGGGGGAGCTGCAGGCTCTCAGTCTGTGCCTTTCTCCTCCCAGGCAGCTGGTCCAGCTCCCAGGCAGGCACAGCCACCAATGGTGAAGGATTCCC